AGGAGGACCAAACTTACATTCAGCAGCACGATTTCCTTTCACTTTTGCAAACTGGATCACTTTTAACTTGAATCCAGCACGGTACGAAAATCTTTTCTGAGTCATTTCTGGGCAGAACGTGGCAAAACGTAACCTACCGTAATATACCGATAACAAGTGCGAAACAATGAGCGCAAAGACAACAAGCGTGAAAAAGCAGGAAATGCAAGTAAAAAAATCTACAACCACTGTATAAGACGCACCCAGTTTTTAGACCCAAATTTTTTGAAAAAGGGTGCGTATTATACATGGGGAAATACGGTAATATGGATTCCCTAGGAGGCTGTAAGATGCAGGAGGTACCCACTACAGAACCAGACTCCGTTTACCAGCCCTGTGACTTGGGCAGGGTTATATAACCTCTGTGCCTCAGTTTCCTCATCTGTAAAACACGAATGATAACAATGTACCTACCTTATAGGGTTATTGTGAGGATTAAATGAGTTAATGCATAAATATAGGGCACTTTGGTATTACTGCATTTCATTGAAGCTGACACACACCAATACACTACAAAATTTAAATTGCTGCCAGTTAAACCAGGACACATCAATGGAACTAGAACTGAAATCACATACTGCTTTCAGAAATGTGAAACAAGAGGTGTGTCTTTTTTTTTAAAAGATTTTTTTATTGGGGAATTGGGAGAGGGAACAGTGTTGGGGAATTGGGGAAGGGGGAACAGACAAGTTGCTGTCCTTTTGTACTTCAGTCTAGTTGTGGAGGATGTCACTTCACTGGCCCATGTTGGTATTGTGATCATTGCACTCTTCCCAGTTGAGGCAGATCGGTCGCCGGCCATTAGACAGCCACTCACCATGGCTCACGGCAGCTCACGCCGACTGCCAGCCACTCATAGTAGCTAACGGCAGACCACTGCAGCCTACGCCGTTGCTAGCAACTCACAGCAGCCCAGCTCCAGGTCGAGCTGTTGTTCACCATCTTAGCTGTAGAGAGTGCAGCATCACTGGCCCTCAAGTGGGATCCTAACTGGTGGCCCTGCTGCTCAGAGCTCCTGCTCCCAAGCCGATTCTTAACCAACACGCCACTTGGCCGGCCCTAGAGGTATGTCTTAACATAGGTGAAGTACACTATTATTATTAGAGACCTGGAGCTGGACTATACTAGCATTAGGGTTAGGGTTCAAATCCCAGGTCCACCACTTACTACCTGGTTGACCTTATGTAAGATACTTAACCTCTCTGTGCCTCAGTTTCCTTCTCATCTGTACATGAGGATAGCGTCAACAGTGCCTACCATACAAGACTGGTAGGACAATTAAATATGTGAGTACAGCACTTAGAAGGAATCTGCTACATAGCGCGCGCTCCCATTGCTATTATTCAAAAACAAAGTTATTCTTTCCAGGAGTGGAGGACGGCTAGGGGAGGAAAGAGACGAAGCACCCAGGTGCCTTTGCAGACAAAGGGTCCCGGGCTCCCCGCACCTCCCAAGCTGCGCGAAGGTCGGGCGGCCCAGCGACACCCCACGTCCCGCCCCGCCCCGCCCCGCCCTGCCTCGCTCCAGCCGCGGCGCTAGTCTCGCGCAAAAGTGCGCGAGCTCCGGCCGAGACCGTGGGCCGGCGGTTGGTTGGGTGAAACCATCTGTTACGCGACGTGGGGAGAGAGAACGCTCATGCGTCCACATTTCCTCATTGTTTAGCTTTTCAGGTCCCGGTGCTGGTCGTATTTTAGGCTTCAAATCAACTCCGTACGCTCAGGCTCCCAGGAGGGAGTCCGAACTCCCTGGCGAGAGGGTGGTGGCGTCTCCGTGCGACGCCCTTCCCCTCTGAACGGGCAGCCGGTGGGAGAGGACGACGGCCGGCGAGGGGAGGAGGCGGCCGTAGCGCCATTTTGTGGGAACGAAACGGTATCTGGCCTGTTCCTGGATCCCAGGCTGCTTGCGTTTCCCTGTCGGGCTTCCTAGCAGCGGCCTAGCGGGTGAGTCGCGGACGCTTCTCACTGAGGACGCCCCGTGCGCTGCGGCTTCCGCACTGGGCGGCCTGCGGCTTCGGCCCCGGCCCTAGGAAGGGCGCTGTGGGGCCGGGCCTGCTTCGTCCCGCCCGAGCGGGCTCTCGCGGGAGCGTCGTTCGTGCCTGGCGCCGGGTGGCAGCCGGCGCCGAAGCAGGGACGCTCGGCCCGCGGTGCCGTCCATCCCGAGGCAGAAGTTGGGCCTGGCTCCGGGGCCGGGCGGTGCTTTGTGCCTTCGGGACTTCGCGCTCGGGGGCGGCAGTGCCAGCTTAGGCCTCGTGCCCCGGCGTCCCCACCCCGGGCTGCGCCTTCAGACTCCTCCCTTGGCCGTCACGCACTGGCTTCTGGGAGGTGGTGGCCCCGCGTCTAGCCGGACCTGTCGCCGCCGCCGTCCTTGAGGCTCAAGTTTGGAGAGCCCCGCGGAAGTGTCACAGTGAGGGGCAGGGAGGAACTTAGTTCGTGTTCTGCTCACCTGGCTCCCTGCTCCTACTCAGTGCTCAGGAGCACGCACACGCGCGCGCACGTCTCAACCAGCTTAGGGTCTCCCCGGCCCTCGAGATCCTTTTCTGCTTTCCAGCGCACACGTCACCATCGTAATAAGATAACGCTGCCTTTCTCTTGCTTACTTCCGCTTCACTGCCCCCCGCTTTGTAACCAGCATGTCGCCCGGGACTAATGGGTTCCACAGTTAGAGTTGCAGCACCAGATGCGCAATAGGCATGTCAGCAAATGTTTATTGAATGAAGGGACTAGCAAGGCACCCCACTTTAGTAGGAATCACTATCTTGGCCTCCTCGTCCTTTTCACGGATAGCCAGCCCGTGTGAAGAGTCCAAACGGCAAGCATTTTTTCCCCGAAGTCCCGAGAACAATGGCACGGTAGCGGGCATTAATCAGCTGATGTATGTAAGGAAGCAGTTCCTTTGACACAAGTGTGGTCATTCCTCTTGTCTTTTCTGTTTAAGAAAAATAAAAAGATGTCCGAGTATATTCGGGTAACCGAAGATGAGAATGACGAGCCCATTGAAATACCCTCAGAAGACGATGGGACGGTGCTGCTGTCCACGGTTACAGCCCAGTTTCCGGGGGCGTGTGGGCTGCGCTACAGGAATCCGGTGTCTCAGTGTATGAGAGGTGTCCGGCTGGTAGAAGGAATTCTGCATGCCCCGGATGCTGGCTGGGGAAATCTAGTCTATGTTGTCAACTACCCCAAAGGTTTGTTGCCACATGGTTTTGCAGTAACGCTATAATCGGGCTGGTGTCTCTTTCTGAGTCATACATGGCGGCCTGTTCTCACGGTGAAAAGCCTCCTATAACCCAAGTATTCCTTTAAGTGTTACTGTTGGACTAGTTTGGAAGACCAGTAGTTCAAATGAGTGAAAACTGGAAATGACAGAACATTTTTTTTAAAGAGGACACTGTGTATTTATTTAAATAGCCAAACGTTGCCATGTTATTTCGATAATGTATCAGAGTCGATTAGTCAGTTGTAACAAGTGTGTCACCGCGGTGGGGGATTTTGATGATGGGGAAGCCATGCATGCATGTTTGGAGGAAGAAGGTATGTAGGAAGTCTCTACTTTTCTCTGAATTTTGCTGTGAGCCTAAAACGGCTCTAAAAACGTCATTTAGCTACTCTCTTCCCTTCCAAATGTTGGTTTTTAAAACTGACCTGAGGTTTTCTTTTTTATTACAAAATGTGAGTTTATTGTTGAAAGTTTAGAAAGAAAAATAAAATTGAAATCACCCTTAAATCCACAGCTAGAGATAAAAGTTGCTGATTTTTTTTTACATATAGTTTTTAAGTTACAGGCATTAAAGTAATTAAGCAAATACTTTTAATAGACAAAAAGTAATCACTGTTTTTTAACCTGGTTTTTTTTATCCTCTGTTTTTTAAAGTCAAAGTGAAGTATGTAGTTATTTTTGTTTTGTTATGCCGTTTGAGAGGGGAGAATATACAATAGTAACCTTGAAATATTACAAAACCGAAATGGGAGTCCCAGGATTTGCACCAGAAAAGCACCTTCAGTCCTTGAGAGCTAACATCACTCTGCCAGAAGTTTCCAGTGTCTTATTGTTCTTAGAATCTTTTTGCTTCTCATTTCTAGATGTGGGAGTAGTGTGTTTTAAGTAGTGTTAAATGAAGAGTTCTAAATTTCTGCTCATTTTGTTTAGATAACAAAAGAAAAATGGATGAGACAGATGCTTCATCAGCAGTGAAAGTGAAAAGAGCAGTCCAGAAAACATCTGATTTAATAGTGCTGGGTCTCCCATGGAAAACAACTGAGCAGGATCTGAAAGAATATTTTAGTACCTTTGGAGAGGTTCTTATGGTTCAGGTAAACTTTAATTTTATTTAAGTTTTCCTTTTCCAGTGAATGAGCGCCCAGAATTCCTGTCTAGTGACACTGCCCTTCATGTTCAGCTGACAGGATAATATTTGTGATATACATACATAGAGGATGCTGAAAAGAAATTTGGCTTACACTATTTCCCTTTATGAATGTACCATATGTTTTTGCCTTTGATGTTGTAAAATTCTGTTGCATAAAGGCTTAAGAGAAGGAGGTGACGATTAGTTTTTTTTTCTTTATAACATATTGATAGATTTTAAAACATTTTCTGCTTTTCCATTTAATTAAGATTTGTAAACATTAGATCTAGTTTATGTTTGCATTCTAAAACATTTTGTTGACATTCTATTATGTAAACGAGATTTACTCTACTATTAACAAGATCTGGATTCCACATTAACCCTCCTGTTGCTTTTACCTCAAGAATACCTTGGTTTCAGTTTTGTTTTTTGTTTTTTTAAGATTTTATTGGGGATTTGGGGGAGGGTAACAGTGTTGAGAAATTAGGGGAGGGGAACAGACAAGTTGTTGTTCTTCAGTTCTTCAGTTTTCGTTGTGGAGGGCGCCAGTTACCATCTGGCTTCCCGTTGGCAGCTGGTGGCCTCTAAGCTCAAGGCCCTGTGTTCAATCTTAGTTGCAGATGGGCATAGCCACCATCCCATGCTGGAGTCGAACCAGCAGCCTTGTTAAGAGCGCACACTCTATTCACTGAGCCATGTGGGCAGCAGCTCAGCTCAAGATGCCGAGTTCAGTCTTAGTTGCAGGTGGATGTAGCCCTCCACTGAACAGGCAATCTTGTTACACCAGCTGAGCCATCCTGCCACCTGTTGGCAGCTCAGCAACAGCTCAGCTCGGGCACATGTGAGAATCGAACTGGCAGCCCTGTTGCTCAGAGCTCACGCTCTTAAGCCAATCCTTAACCAACTGAGCCACTCGGCCAGCCCCTTGGTTTCAGTTTTAATTAAGCCACTGCATCCAGTTGAATCCATTCACATTGTCAAAAAATTCTCATTTGGTGTGTTTGTGTGTGTGTGTAGTTTTAGTAAAGTGTAAATGATTTTTTTGTAGGTCAAAAAAGATATTAAAACTGGTCATTCGAAAGGGTTTGGCTTTGTTCGATTTACGGAATATGAAACCCAGGTGAAAGTAATGTCACAGCGACATATGATAGATGGACGATGGTGTGACTGTAAACTTCCTAATTCTAAGGTACTTCGCTCTTTTTTTTTCTGCTTTGGGCACTTTCACTGACAGACTTCATTAGAAGACGCTATAAATGAAAACATCAAATAGGCTTGGAAAAGATAGTGGCAGGCTGTGTTCTTGAAATCTTTTGCCTCGCTAAAGCATTAGGACCTTAATGCATGCTAAACGTTTTATGATTATTTGAAATACTTCATTTATTACTCCTCTAAACAAAAACTTTGTTCATTTTATTATTTTGTGACTTCTAGCAAGTTAACAATTTCTTACATAGTTACATGTTAAAACATAAAGATAATAGCACACTGATCTTGTTACAAAGGCCTAACTCGTACCAAGCAAGCAAGACTTGCTTATTTGGAACATTATCCTTATTGCCAGGACACCCCTCAGTCGTTTTGAGACTACCTACTTTTTAATGACTCACCTAATATAAAAAGCGGGTAGGTTTTGTTACATCCTTTACCATGATGCCCTTGTCGTTGCTCATAAAATATTTGTGGTGTGTTTCCTTCCTTGAATTTGACCAGCAAAGCCCAGATGAGCCTTTGAGAAGCAGAAAGGTGTTTGTTGGGCGCTGCACAGAGGACATGACTGCTGACGAGCTGCGGCAGTTCTTTTGCCAGTACGGAGAGGTGGTAGACGTCTTCATTCCCAAACCGTTCAGGGCTTTTGCCTTTGTTACATTTGCAGATGACCAGGTATTTTTCTCTTTGATAATTTTGTCCCAGCTAATTAGGTAATTCCTCTTGAACTTTCCCCATCCAGCTAATTGGCACCCTTAGCTAAGCTTTCTGAATTTGTAAGCTGTGGGGTATATGGGCCTAGATATTTGTGATAAACGTCATAATATTTTCCAATATATGGTGTTTAACTGGGAGTGTTATATAACTTGAGAAAGTGAACTGAGAAATCCCTGCTGCCTTATGAAAGCTAAAGGCTATTTTATGAGTTTAAATGAAATGAGCGTTCATTGTTTATTTTTCTTCTAGTTTAGATAATGGCTTAAAATCTAAGTTTTATTGCTGCTTTGATGTGTGTGTCATTGGTTTAGCCGCCTTTGTTTACATCCCTTATTTTCTTATAGGTTGCCCAGTCTCTTTGTGGAGAGGACTTGATCATTAAAGGAATCAGCGTACATATATCCAATGCTGAACCTAAGCACAATAGCAATAGACAGTTAGAAAGAAGTGGAAGATTTGGTGGTAATCCAGGTGGCTTTGGGAATCAGGGTGGGTTTGGTAACAGTAGAGGGGGTGGAGCTGGCTTGGGCAACAATCAAGGTAGTAACATGGGGGGAGGCATGAACTTTGGTGCTTTTAGCATTAATCCAGCCATGATGGCTGCAGCCCAGGCAGCACTGCAGAGCAGCTGGGGTATGATGGGCATGTTAGCCAGTCAGCAGAACCAGTCAGGCCCATCAGGTAACAACCAAAGCCAAGGCAACATGCAGAGGGAGCCAAATCAGGCCTTTGGTTCTGGAAATAACTCTTACAGTGGTTCTAATTCAGGTGCAGCGATTGGTTGGGGATCAGCATCAAATGCAGGGTCAGGCAGTGGTTTTAATGGAGGCTTTGGCTCAAGCATGGATTCTAAACCTTCTAGCTGGGGAATGTAGACAGTGGGTGATGGCTGGTTGTACAGACTGGTGGGAATTCAAATTTTTCTAAACTCATGGTAAGTATATTGTAAAATACATATGTACTAAGAATTTTCAAAATTGGTTTGTTCAGTGTGAAGTATATTCAGCAGTATTTTTGACATTTTTCTTTAGAAAAAGGAAGAGCTAAAGGAATTTTATAAGTTTTGTTACACAAAGGGTTGAAATATTGAGTGTTTGAAAGTGAACTGCTGTTTGCCTGATTGGTAAACCAACACACTACAACTGATATCAAAAGGTTTCTCCTGTAATATTTTATCCCTGGACTTGTCAAGAGAATTCTTTGCATGTTCAAAATGGAAACCATTGATTAGAACTACATTCTTTTCTCCTTGTTTTAATTTGAACCCCACCATATGGATTTTTTTCCTTAGGAAAAATCTCCGTTTTGGAGATAATGGTGTCACAATGTTTGGTTCTTTTGTTTTTGTTTTTTAACACTTGTCTCCCTTCATATGCAAAAGTACAATATGAAGCCTTCATTTAATCTCTGCAGTTCATCTCATTTCAAATGTTTATGGAAGAAGCACTTCATTGAAAGGGGTGCTGTAAATACTCTGCCGTAGGAATGCTTCTGTCTACATGCTTTCTCATTCAAGAATTCGTCATCACGCTGCACAGGCTGCGTCTTTGACGGTGGGTGTCCCATTTTTTCCGCTACTCTTTATTTCATGGAGTCGTATCAACGCTATGAACGCAAGGCTGTGATATGGAACCAGAAGGCTGTTTGAACTTTTGAAACCTTGTGTGGGATTGATGGTGGTGCCGAGGCATGAAAGGCTAGTATGAGCGAGAAAAGGAGAGAGCGCGTGCAGAGACTTGGTGGTGCATAATGGATATTTTTTAACTTGGCGAGATGTGTCTCTCAATCCTGTGGCTTTGGTGAGAGAGTGTGCAGAGAGCAATGATAGCAAATAATGTACGAATGTTTTTTGCATTCAAAGGACATCCACATCTGTTGGAAAACTTTAAGTGAGTTTTGTTCTTAGATAACCCACGTTAGTTGAATGTGTTAAGTGAAACGACACTTGTACTGCCCCTCCCCCTTTGTCAACTGCTGTGAATGCTGTATGGTGTGTGTTCTCTTCTGTTACTGATCTGTAAGTGTGGTAATGTGAACTGAAGCTGATGGGTTGAGAACATGGACTGAGCTTGTGGTGTGCTTTGCAGGAGAACTTGGAAGCAGAGTTCACCAGTGAGCTGGGGGTGTCTCAAAGAAGGGTGGAGGTTCTAATGTCTGTTAGCTACCCTTAAGAATGCTGTTTGCTGCAGTTCTGTGTCTTGTGCTTGGATGCTTTTTATAAGAGTTGTCAATGTTGGAAATTCTTAAATAAAACTGATTTAAATAATATGTGTCTTTGTTTTGCAGCCCTGAATGCAAAGAATTCATAGCAGTTAATTCCCCTTTTTGACCCTTTTGAGATGGAACTTTCATAAAGTTTCTTGGCAATAGTTTATTTTGCTTCAAATAAACTTATTTGAAAAGTTATCTCAAGTCAAATGGATTCATCACCTGTCATGCATTGACACCTGATACCCAGACTTAATTGCTATTTGTTCTTGCATTGTCCAAAGTGAAAAGTTGTTTTTGTTTTTGTTTTTTCTTTTTAAATCTAGTTTTTAATAAGTCTGGGTGACCGCACCTAAAATGGTAAGCAGTACCCTCCAGCTTTTTCTTAGTGCCTCTGTGCATTTGGGTGATGTTCTATTTACATGGCCTGTATAAATCTCCATTGGGAAATCACGCCTTCTAAAAATACTCTTATTCGGGGGGGAGTGGGCAAAACTGTTAATTATATGCTTTGTAGCAAAGCATATCAATTGAAAAGAAGGGAATATCAGCGCCTTTCTAGTTTGGGATTTGAAAAGTGGAATTAATTGCAATAGGGATAAAGTAGAAGAAACCACAAATTATCTTGTGCCTGAAATCCATTAAGAAGCTTGATAGCTTTAAGACCTAGCAGGGTGGGTTGTCTGTCTGTGGAAGTGTTAAGTGAAATGGGCTTTGTCTTCCAAAGGCGGGGGAAATATAGTCATGTTGAATAAAGTCGTTTACAAAACTCAGATTAGACTCTCAACGATGCATTGTTAAGTATGTAAAAGCAATAATATATTGATTCTCTATTGTACTTTTTATGTAACTACTATGAGAGTTGAGCTCGTTTTCTAATGAAAGAATGTAACAATTTTTGTGTTGATAGTTTACCTAATGCCCTTATCTAATTAGATTATGATAAATAGGGTTTTTGCAAGTTAAGTGTTTTAAACTTTTATAAGTGAAGTCCTCCTCTAGCACTTGTGATCACATTGTTTCATTATTCAGTTTCCTCTGTAAAAGGATCTTGAGTTGTTTTATTTTTTTTCTGCATCTGAATTGCATGATTTCCAAACCCTGTGCCATCTGAATTTTGCATTTTAGCACTTGCACTATTACTCAGCAGCAGTAACATGGTAACACTTAAAATGGTATTCGGGGACCTCCAAAGACTAAACTGACAAGCCTTCAAGGAGCCCAGGGGTAAGTTAACTTGTCAATGGCATGGTTTTAATCCCTTATTTACACTTGTGTAAATCTAGTTACTGGTTTTAGAAGGCTTTCAATGTTGCGTAGCCTTTTATTAACGTGTTTGTGGTACTACATAGCTATGGGTATTTAATTCTACCCTAAAATATTTTTCAAGTTTAGCAGTAAACTATTTGGCAAAGATTTGTTTTTAAAAGTCTATTTGGTCATCTAAATGCATTCACCCTAAAAAGTTTTTGAACCAGTTGAATAAAAATTTTTGTTGCCACCACAGTTTAGTGTCTGGAGTCTTACTGGAAAAAAACACAATTTCCTTTTTATATGTGACAAAAGATGCTGTAAAGTTATCTTTAAAAAATGAGTCTCAAGAAGTTGCACTTTATATGCACAAGAGAAATTAGGCCAAAATTCACAATGAATTTTTAAATGTAATGGCAACTCTGGCTGGAATGGAAAGCTTTGTTAGATGTTAGTTATTAAAACTTTTTAGGGAGGACTAGCCAACTAAAATGAGATTTTTAAAGCTAAATCAGAGCTTAAAATTTTGTCCTTAGGAAAAAGCAAGAGGTTAACTACTTAATTCAGATGTATGTGATAATTGGAATAATTTTGTTGTTAAATACTAAAACAGCTCTTAATTATGTGTTTGAGTTTTGGCTATTGTATGATCTGGGATCTGTTGTTTGGTTAAGCGTGCCCATGTATTACATGGTCATTGTAAGAAGGAAAAAAATACTACAGGTTTATAATACCACCATTTATTTCTAATGTATTTCGTCTTATGGAAATGCCACATTCAGCGGTCTCCTGAATTGAGCATTATTTAGGTTCTGTCCCACTGCTGGGCTCATCCTCGTAGCTAAATTAAATTCGTAACATTGGAATTACTAGGTCAAAGACTAGGCAGGCTTTCAATGCTTTAGACATATGTTGCCAAATTGTCCTTTAGAATGTTGTCTTTGACAATGTGAATTAGTGCTATTCCATGTCCTTTTTGTCTGTCAATTTGATGAGTGAAAAATTATATCTCACTGTTTTGTGGTATTGGTTTTTAACATGGAAACCAGTACCTAGGCTGAAGTATTGATGTTTTCAGTTCATCTACAAAAAAATCCATGATTCAAGGTTATTCCTGAACCAGTATTACTGTAATATATAAAGCTGTCTTGGAGAGCAATAAGAACAAGCCCAAAAACAAAAAAAAATAGTTGAAGAATATGAACAGGGAGTTTCCAGCACTGCAAACAAAAAGACCAGTACAAGAAGATACTGGACTTTGTAAGTAATTCAATGCACGGTTCACCAGTGAATTTCTATTGCATTGGCAAAGATGGGTATCACCGTAATGGTGTATGTCCCCTCATATCAGTAAAGGGTGACAATCGGGATCTGGTAACCGACAGACTACTGTGTTAATGTTTGTCAGGTCACATTACTGCTAAGATCTTTTATAGGTGTTTTTTTTTAAAGGAATCATTTACTGATGGAAGATATACAAATTAAAAACTATCAATTATTTTTTTGATCCAAGGAATATAGTTAATGACTTTTGTGTAGACCCCATACTCATCTGCTTTGCCACAATTAATGGAACCCCAGGACACGATTCCTCCCACAAACCACCTCTGTGTCTCATTATCTAGAAACACTAATGCCCCTCCACTGTCACCTCTGCAGCTGTCCTTGCCCCCACTTTCTAAGCCAGCACAGAGCATGTTATCAGTTACTCTCGCCCCTCGGTGGGGCGTCTTCTCATAGGCAGCAGTGCATTTTTGATGGTCAACAATTGGAATGTCAACAAACATTAGATTTCTGGCAAGAAAGCCCTTTTGGGTTAATCCCCATCCAGATGCAGTTCCAATGTCATTTGTCGTCATGAAGGATTCAGCTCCTTTTCTTGGCAAGCAAACAGGCAGGATGTTGCTATTGATGACAGCTTTGTCCCTCAATTTAATCAGTGCTATGTCGTTATCAAAACCAGCATCATGAGTATAACCTTCATGTATAAAAATGGCCTCTGCCCGGGCTTGTGTGTAATGAGGTGACAGCCTCTTAAGGGCACCCATTCTGATGTCCAGGGAGGAGGCATCTTCTTTGTGCCCGTAAACAGCATGAGCAGCTGTCAGGATCCAGCTGTCGTACAGAAGGGCACCTGCCGCTGTACCTTGACCCAGTAACAGGACTTGCCAAGGAAAATCACCAGGCTGTGCATTTTGACCTCCATATATGCGACCCCTTGTAGTACGAGTTGATATTCCACAAACTGGGGAAAGAAGCAGATGTACAGAGAGCCTTTAGAGAAACCCAATGCTGTTTTTCTCCAGTTACTACCACTTTGGAGTTGTATTTAATGTCAACCAAAAATTGCATCACATGAGTTGGTGGGTGTCTACCTATACAGGCCAGTGAGGCTACTCAAAAACAGCACAGTTCAGAGACCTGATTGGCATCGCTTAGCTCCTCAGAAAAGGAGGTGGGTGCAAGTTCTCTTTTAGAAATGAATTTGTTTTGCTAAAACAGTTGATCCACAAGATTGGGGAAATCACTTAAGGCAGACAGGTTGTCTGAGCTGGTGCCCTTGGTGATGTGCACAGCAAGGAAAAAGAAGTAACTCTGAGCTTCTGCATTCCCGCCAACGGAGTGGGGCGCTGACCATGTCGCTCCGGGGAAGCAGGAACTAAGGTCGCTAGACAGGAGTTGTAAATATTACTTTCACCTTTGAACACTCAGATGTTTTAAAAATAAGAATGCCGCAGTTGTAGCCAGGAACCAAGTTCAGGAGTTATTTTTGGTCTAGTTGATTCTTCCAAACACGAGATTTTACTGTATATTATGAAATACACTCATTAATGTAGCAAATGCGTTTCCTGTTGTGGCAGAATACTTGCATTCAAACTTAAAAACGTGTCAGCCAAGATATCGGTTTTTAAAAAAACTAAGCCAAATAACGGGTAATGAATATATTATTACCTTTCCGATTTTTTAAAATCTCTGTTCAACTATGTCTTCAGAGCCAATTCTGGTAAAAAAATTTTTAAGTACTATTAAAAGGCAAATTGCATTAATGTTTAAAAACTAGATGTCATTGAAAACAATTGCTTAGGGAAATAATGAAGTTATTAGCTTTGGGTTTTAATAGCGTTTTTACAGAGAAGAAAAGTAACTCAACAGAAGAACTCATGTTTATAAATGTATAAGTGGCTCAAGATAATTTAAAAAATCATTTAATTTTTTATGCTTGCCTAGTTGTAAGGCCAAAATAATCCAATGACTGATGCAGTCAGCACCCAGCAACCTCTCCAAATGGAAAGGGGATAATGAGAACATATTATTTGGAAATAATAACTTGGCCTAAGAGCCAAGTGCTGAAGTTAACATTTCTGCCACCACAGCTGAAGCGCTACTTACTGTCTCCTACCCAGTTCTACATGCCATCAAGTATGAATCTCTTGTATAAATGTATCCATTACCAGGCTCACAGGCTGGGAGTGATTTTTCTCCTTTGGAGCTCGTCCAGAATCCATCAGCCTCACACACATATTTACCTGCAAATCATTGGAAAAGCAAAAATGTTTAACTGCATGTATAAGGTGGTTGTCATTTGCTTGAATACCCCCTTGAAAAATGTTGATTCTTGAGCATCAGTGGGAAATAGAGGTGTCTGAATAACCATTTTACATGATTTCATAAATAGGGGGGTCTCTGCATTACCATGTTTGCTTGCAAAGTGAAAACCTTTTAGATGTGTAACTTGAATATGTATCAAGATCTCAAGTGCTTAATGATAAGGTTTTGGCTTGTTAAATTAAACCATTTGGAATATCTTGTGTGTTTGTAGTCATTTACTAGATAAGATCTGTTTTCACATTCTTGCAAATTGCCATTAAAGTCACTTCAGCTGTAATACTTCACTTAGCGGGTGGGAGAAGTGCCTTTTAATCTTTTGTCTAGCCTTAGCCAAAAATGTTGGTTCAAGTTTATTTTCAGATAGTGAGGACTTAGGTTCCAAATGTCACCCACCCCATCTTTGAATAGTTGGCTTACCATCATCTGCTCTCATCGTGTAGAAGGTCTCGTTACAGCGGTATTGAATCACAGCTTTGTACGTGGTCACTTCAGGACCTGTGAGATACTCCACTTGGCCATTGGGGAGGTCCTCAGGAGGGCCACAGTCAACGACTTAAAAATGGGGAAGGGGGGAGTCAGCTTGTGCTCTCTAACACTGAAAAGATCTGGAGGCCGTGATAGGCAGTCGGGCCAGGTGCTACCAAAGCCATGTTTTTTCCCCCTGTATGCTGGACATTAATTTCATCTCGAGAATGGAGAAAATCGCTTTAGAGTGACTTGAAAGCATCACTCACTCATCCCTATTCCTAACTAAATGGCTGGGTTGAGAAGTCCCCGCAGGAGTGGTATGACGCTTTTCCTGAAGGAAGAGGACTTGAAACCACTTGGACTTCCGGACTTCCGTAACGTGCTCACGTCTTAACAAAAGTCGGCTGCAAAGCCCACAACACAGAAAGGGAGAACACAGCACCACCCACACGTGTGTGCCTCTAGTCTGGGTCCATGTAAAGGGGTGCGCAGGTGGCACCAGGTTGGTAGGAAAGGATACAATACAAAGATGACTCAAGGGCTCAGCTTGTTAACAATCCTCATAAGCTGACTTCCAGAGACCTTGGATTTGGATTAGAAGTCACACTTGTTAGGATATAACTAACATGAAACAACCGATTGCGAGACCAAGTGCTATTGGTCTAAAAGTTCACACAGTGGACGTCTGAACATTGTTTCTGTATTTCTGTGGGTATTAAAAGCTTGCATTGAAATAACTTTCAGCAATTTCATGGCCATGTGCCTGGCTCGGCTGAGAGCTTTGCCAACATTGTCTAATAGAAGAGATACCCATAACTACCAGCAAAAAGCAGGAGAATTGGGGTTCAGACCCAGACATCTGACTCCCAACACCCCATCAGTGCCAGCTCTTGACTGCTTTTTCAACATAAACCTAGGAAATACTTAAATTCCCCTAGGACTTTTGTAGAAACCCTTCCACAAAATATGCCAAAATGCACATACAGGGGTGTTAACTACAGTAGTGTGTGTGATAGTAAACTGGAAACAGTAGAAATCAGATTGAATAAAAGCATCATGTGACGGAATGCTATGCAGTCATTAGAAAGATGGGCTCTTTTCATGCTCAGATTGATTTGGGAAGCTAGCCCAACAATATAAAGGGAAAAAGCACATTGCAATCAGATTAAGTATCCCATTTTGGTTAAAAAGAATACAACAGTGAAATATGTTAGTATGTAGCACATAGGAGATAATGTGAAGGAACAGACCCCAAACTTAGTGGCAGTTCGGGGAGTTGGGCAAGAGTGGCTTTTGCTATTTTTATAAATTTGTATATTTTTTCCAGTTAACACATATGTGTATCTCATAATTGGAAAAATAAAAAAGGCATAATTCTTAGTTCACAAAATGGTCATGTACACCATACCCCCGTTAGGTGTACACACTCCATCTCTACATACAGTAGCCTGTATGTTCACACGTGTGAGATATGGAACTGGACACTGGAGGGATACACACCAAAATAGTAACATTATACTCTCATATGGTAGGATTATGGGCATTTAAATGTAATTCTTGGGCCGGCCAAGTGGCTCAGTTGGTTAAGAGCCCCAGCTCTGAGCAACAGGGTCACCAGTTTGATTCCCACATGGGCCAGCGAGCTGTGCCCGAGTTGAGCTGCCACTGAGCTGCCAACAGGTGACAGGGTGGCTCAGCTGGTGAGAGCATGTGCTCCTAACAACAAGGTTTCTGGTTCAACTCCCGCATGGGATGGTGGGCTATGCCCACCCACAACTAAGATTGAACACAGCACCTTGAGCTGAGCGGCCGTGAGCTGTCGACAGGCGGCCGGATGGTGACTGGACTTGGAGCTGAGCTAGCTGCGCCCTCCACAACTAAGATTGAAGGACAACAAGTTGGCTGTTCCCCTTCCTCAATTCCCCATTAAAAAAAAAATGTAATTCTCTATTTCCCATCTTCTCTGAGTATTTTATACTTAGAAAAAATCTTTTTAAAGATCAACTTTTTGAAAGCAAATACACTTACCTAGTAGCTTGGATTCATTTTAACCTCTAAGAGTGCACTGAGAGTGGGGAAGAGAAGCAAGTTTGGAATTCAAACCCTGATAAATAGCATCCCTTTAGAAAAGGCCAGAAGCAGTAACAACCAAAGCAGTGTAGGAGCTGTGATCACATGACCGTACTGCTGCATTCTGGCATCGGCTGGTCCCAAGATCCATCTTTTTGACAGACTGCAGCAAATGATTTCAGGGGCAAATGACCCTAAAGAGGAATTCAGAAAATATTAATTCCCTTGTTTACATCATAAAAGCACTCCCCAAAACTCTGCTCCCACAGTCGTTTCTCTTCCAGCGTTTGACGAGATGTTCCCAAGGGAGCGACACACCCACATGGCACAGCCCAACGCCGCCTTGATTTGTGTGCACACATGCTGCAAACGGCTCTGCTTATGTCACCTGTGCCACATAGGTCACCTTTCAAGGTGCATTGCATTTTAGGAACCAAACGTTGACCTCTGCAGCAATTCATGATACATTTTTTTCATGATACACGTGCTTTCCACTTTATTCCAAGAACACATCGTATCTCACAAGTTCCTGCTTCTTTATATGAAGTGTCAAAGGGTGGTGGTTAGAAGTTTGGGAAAGGCCATTTTGGACTAAATGAAAGAAGATCGCTTTGGCAGAAGCCTTATGCTTCAAAGGCGAGCAGGATGATTTTTTTTTTTTAATCAGAAACAACAGGTTTGCAGTACAAGGAGCTGTGGAAATGAGCCTGCCCAAAAGTTGGCGAGATGGGAAGTGTCTCACTTTTTTTTTTTTTTTTTGGTGTTGCCCCTCCACAGGACTGGATTGCATAGCCAGCTATCATTTCAATGTTATTACTTTTTACCACTGGGATTCAGTGACAATTTTGAAGAACATAAAGAGGACGTGTTAATCTTCTCCCTGTGCACCTAAAGCGACACACTAAGCATTTTTAAAATTATCCCCCTTCTCCCTTAACAGTGGTCACTATTTATAACTTTGCAGAATATACGATTTCCTCACGCGGTTTAATTTTTTGTGTGTGTGGACCCAGGAGTTGTTTCATGTAAAGGTCATTTGACCGGGGGGAGGAGCTTAATGTAATGCACGGTGACCTCACAGAGCACACAGCACAAGGAGGGCAAGCGCATCCTTTTAGTTCAGCCACTTTATCAAGAGCTGCTGCCATGTGTGAACAGAGAAAAGCCCATTTTAATCACTGCCTTTCCAAAGTGGCTTTTTTAAAAAGACAAAATTCCCAAGAATAAAAAACCCTCCATAGCTTTCCCTCTTCTCAGCAAACCTATCATCTCTTTGACTTTTGTTTAATCAGAGTCCAAAAAAGCCCCCATGCTGACCACAGCTATTTTCCCATTTCCCTTTCATATATATGCTGATAGAAACACACACACATTATTACACTGACACACACACACACACACACACACACACACACACACACACACACACACACACACACTTAAAACCTAGCCCATTTGTGCTGCATTACTGACTTTGTATTAACTTACCTGCAGAAGCTCGTAGCCAGTCTCGCAAAAGACGGAGAAGCTGTCTTTCAGGATGTACTTGGCTTGCACAGGTGAGATGTGGCCATTAGGTGGCGCCACCGGATCAGGGCAAGGCTGGGCTGCACAGAGGAAACCGGGCTTAGGGGTTTTGGAGGTCTACAGCCGGCGAGTCTGAACTGAGCATTTGAAGGTCTTGATTTATAAATGAAACACTTAACATGTAAAGAGAGCTTGTCACAAGTCTGACTGAGTTCTTAAGATTTAAAACCAAAGGCAAGATGAAACTCTCTGTTGCTTAGTGTGCAGATTAGGGTTTGTCTCCTTGCCTGGGCTTCAGCCAAAGCTATGTTAAGAAAGCCAGACATGCAGTGAGATGGGACAGTCCCCGCCACTGGGGCATCTGCTTGTGCCAGGGACTTCACACTCACTGCTGAAAACCAAGAAGGTGTAACAGAGGCAAAATCTAGAGAGCTCTCCATTCCCAGTGGTGACAGTCAGCCTCTCTGAGCCTCAGTTTCCTCATCTGGAGGATGAGTGATGAAAAGGGCTGCTCACCTTCTAGGGCTGTTATGAGGACAGGATGTGAAGCATCCAGGAAAGTGCTTTGCTAAGTGCTGGAAAGTGCGGGCTGCAGTTAACCCTCACACAGGGCTGGCACTCAGGAAGCCTCGTGCTCCCTCTCGTGAGTACCCACTGCAATGCTCAGACCTCCAGGGAGATTGTCTTCCACTTTGGTCCCCAAACCCTGGCCTGCTGTCACCCCAAGGCTTCAGCCCATCCCCTATAGCTACGCCTCAGTGTGCACCAGTCGTCTGTTAAGTCCTCTCCTCCCTCCAACCGCTGATCTTTGTGACCTGAGGTGGCTCTCAGTCCCAAGCAGGCCCCCAAAGTCTCCCCTCAGGGACCCAATCTGCAGGGACAGCCCTGGTGGCCCTGTAGGAGTCCAGGACCTCCCGAAGCCACCTCATACCCAGCCCAGTGTTCCGCTTGCCCCTCCATTCCCACGCACCTCAAGGCTCTGTCCTGGCCCTTGTCACCCAACAGCCTGGCAAGCCGGATGCTCCCCTGACTGACCCTGAAACCAGCACTGCAGTTCTAGGAGTTTTATTACTTGTGGTTGAAAAAAGGGGTTCCACAGAAAGTCACCTCCCAGGGCCATCCGATCATAAATTCCTAACTGGGCAGGTCATGGCGGGGTAGTCATGCCCTAGGCATGCAACTTCTTTACTAAAAGGTTTATCTTTGCCTTAAACCAGCCCTGTCTATTGTTTCTGTACTTCTAAGTTAACACACCTTGTAATACTCCCTCAGACCTTTCTTTCTACCTGACCGCCTTCAAGTGAGCACACAATCTTAACTCTCCTGTAATCCCATCCCAACCTTGCTCTCTGTCATCTTCATGTCATCTTCCTTACATTCCCCCCTTAATCTCAAATGCATAAAAGAAACTGCAGACTGCTGTTCTCCAGAGCATTTGAGATCTTGCTCCCCAGCATATGTCGTCAGCTTGGCTCAAATAAACTGTTATAAAAATTCTCTACAGGTTTAGACGTGCTTACACTGACAAACTGAAGATGACCTTTGGCCTGAAAATCTAAGGGCCTTCTGACACTCATTGCCCCTGGGTTATCTCCCACACATACACGAGATACACATGTTAATAAACTTCTCTTTTTCTCTTGTTAATCTGTTTCCAGGCAAGAACTTGTAAAGGTAGAGGGAAAATTTTCTTCCCTATAGATGCAAGGAGGGATGGGTGGGTGGATGGATGAGTGTGTGGGGGTTCAGAACAAGTCACCCAAGGATGTGCCTCTGCTCTGTGGATTGTTTTGAACTAAAGGCAACTTTAGCTTTGGACTCAAGAGACACTTCTGCCCCTCCCTTAACTACCTAGAGTTCCAATTAGGGGGCCTTGCCAATAATAAGAGGCTATCAGAGATAACCTCTTTGGGCCTATCTACAGGGCAGGGCAAACGACTGATTACTAAACATGCTTTCCCTGCGATGGCCTGAAGCCCCAAGGTGCCCTAGCCCTGTCTACCCATGTCCCCTTTCTGTCTCTGAACCTCTCGTGCATGCGATCGGTCTCCCCGCTTTACTACACTTCCCTCCTTCGTCCATGACTTTCCACTTTCCCTCAGACCTAGCACAAACGCACACAGGTCTAGCTGTTTCTCTAGGTCTTCATTTCCTTACGAAGGCTCCCGCGCCACATAAAACATATGAAATAAAGGTGTATGCTTTTCTCCTGTTAATCTGTCTTTGTCAGTTGACTTTTCAGACCCAGCCAGCAACGCTGAGGGTCAAGGACACCTTTTTTCTCCCCTGTGTGTCCCAGGCCTGGCCAGGAAGAGCTCCGTCTCCTTGACACTCCTGGGAGAGACAGGAGCTCAGAGTTTCCTGCCAGGATCTGAGACCCACTTGCCCTCACCTGTGCTGGTGTAGTGGATCTGCCAGCCTGTGTGGTCCCCGGATTGATCGGTAACAAAGGTGATGGTCACAGAGTTGCTCTTGGTTTCAATCCTGCTAGGCAATGTCTTCCCACAAAATGGGCCGTATTCCTGTTTGTCTGTTTGAATCTGAAAGAAAGCAGAGAGGCCCCTGTCACCTCAGGACCTGCGGGAGCCAGGGTGAGGTGGGGTTCCTGGGAACCAGACCTTGAGGGAGTCGTAAGGGCACCGGGTTTCAGGGTGAGTCTCCACGTCGAAGGAATCCACGAAGTCCAGGATGACACTGAACCCCTCCTCCAGGCGGATACTGTAGGTGCAACTGGAGAGTCTGGGGTACGGCTGTGGGTATTCAGGGCTGCTGATCACCCCAGACCGGTCAGTGAAGACCTGGCCTGAGCACAGGGCTGGGGAGAGGGGAGAGGACAGGGCAGCGTGAGTCGGGTGCAGGCAGAGGACTCCGCCCCACCTGCGGTCTGCGCGAGGGCCGTGCACAAGGCCAGCTCCAGAGGCACCTCCAGAGACCAAGGACCCCACCCTCGTAGCTGAAGAGACAATTTAGGCAGGGGGTTTCTCTGGCTTCCAGACTTTCGCTGAAACAGGCGGCACTTGGATGTACTGTCCTCCAGGGGCTCCCACTCATACCCCCAGAGATGGGGGGCACCTATGCCAAGGGTCCTGGTGGTGGGAGTGAGTCCTGGACCAGACTCACAACCCCGAGGTGGGCGGAGTGAGTGAGGTCAGGCTCTGCTGAGGGGGACGGAGGCACCAAGAGAAGAGAGGAAGCTTCTCCTCACACGCCAGGAACTGGGAGGTGAGGCAAGTCTCCTTGAGCTGAGGGCCCCTGACCCATCCGGAACCCCGCAACTCCGAGGTCCACCCACCATGGGGCACCCCCTCACTCTCAGCCCCGGGCCAGTCCAGCCTCCCCTCTGTCGCCACCTGGACTGGTCAGGAGGTCAGGAAGGGGCTCCCTTTGCCTGGGTCTGGGCTCTGCCTTGGGAGGCAGTTGAGGGTTGAAATCCACACTGATCATAGACTAGCCCGGCACTCTTTCCTCAATGGAACAGCTACCTCAGCCCTCGCAGAGGGGGCATTGTATCATTCAGGGGAGGGGGCCGCCCCCATCCTCCCAGGCCACACAGGCCTTTGAGCTGGGAGGCTTCTAGGAAGTGGGGAGTCCCAGCTCTGCCTTCCTTTCTCCATGTGGCTGCTCCCCATGGGGCAGAGGGAATTGTCTCTGGATGTGGGGGACAAGACTGCCCGTCGGTGATGACCTACCTCCCTGGTCTCTGCTTTGTGTCAGGCTCCCTCAGCACAGCACATGGGGACTGAACTACACTCTGAACAGGAGGTGGTCCAAGGATGCTGAGAGCTCAGCCCCTTGGGGCCCGGTGGGGGAGCACAGAGCTCTGTTCTCGTGTGAACTCAGGCAAGCCTCCGCCCTGCTCTGGCCGCTTCAAAATGGGGTGGGGGGAGGAGCAAAGCCCTTCTGGCAAAGGAGCCTGTGGCCCCGTGGAGGGGGTGCCCACCCACTAGGCCCCTCCAGACTATGATGAGGTAGGAAGAGAGGACAGGGGGCCAGGGTGCACATCACCGCCCTTCCCCCGCCTTCCCACCCCAGAGACACGCAGCAGCAGGTGGAGGAGGCGCCAGGTTTATTGTTAGTTCCGTGGGTGGGGTGAATGGGGGCTGCAGGCAGCAGTAATCTTGGGCTGAACCCAGAGCTGCAGCCAGCAGGGGAGGCTAGAGGCTCTGCTCTGGAAGAGAAAACAGAGACGGGGAGAGACACGGGGGAGAGACACTGAGCCAGGGAGGCGGGGTCAGTGCCACCGGGCTGGGCTTTCCACTCCCCAGGGCACCAGCTAGTTTTCTGTCCAGGTGCCTGGCAGGGGCACCGAGGGGCACCCTCCAAGCAGTGAGGCCAAAGGGGTCTGTCGGCTGGAGGCCCTGTCCCCCTCCCTGAGGTTTTGTGGAGGGAAGCTTGCGTGTGTGAGGGCAAGGTCACTGGATGGGGGTCCCAGAGCCCAGGTGGGCCAGATGCACAGGGGCACCTAACGCAGCTAATCAGTGAATGAGAGTGAGCTGAGGACTGAGCCAAGGACAGGAGGGGGCGGGGGAGGAATTTGAGAACTGGGATGGATGGTAGATGGGAGGGTACGGGAAGGGCGGAGAAGGGGCTGGCACTGCCCAGGAGAAGTGCCCAGTGGGCCAAGGCCAGTGGTGCCTCCAGACCCTGGGCAGAACAGCTGTGGCCTTGATGAGGGTGGGGGTTGGGCCAGGCACAGGGGCCCCCTTGCAGCTGCTGCTCACCTGAGCAGGTATGCTTGTTCCCATGGAGAACATAGCCCGCACGGCAGGAGCAGTAGAAGCCGCCCAAGTGGTTGTGGCAGTGGTGGTCGCAGGTGGGTGCCTCTCCTGGGGGTACTTGGCACTCATCGATGTCTGGGGGAGGGGTGGGCCAGGCAGGCGATCAGCAGGGAAGGAGATGGGACGGTGCTGGGGTCATGGCTGACCTGAGAGATGGTGGCTGGTGCCCAGACAAGCCCTAGAGACCTAGGGTCATTGCAGCCTCCCCACAACACTTAAACAGAGAAGTATAATAAATAACACCTTTTAAAACCAATGACAGGATGGATAAGTGTCCTGCTCAAGGTTCCCAGCTAGTGAAGGGAGCAGCTAGCAATGGAACCCAGTGGGCAGGGATACTGAACCCTTACAGCAGCCTCATGAGGAGCACAGAGAGGTTGGGCCACTTGCCCAGGTCACACAGCTGGCCCCTGCGGCTCAAAGCCCTGGCTCAGAGACAACGCCCCAAGCTCTGTGCATTCTCAGCTCAGGCTGGTGGGGCTTCACTTTCCCATCTGTAAATGGGCTCACTCAGCCCTTGCATCACAGGGGGGCTGTGATAACGTCCCAGGCCCAGCACCTGGCACAGAATTCAGCACAGCTGTTACTGATATTTGCATTGCAGATGATGTCAGAGGAAAGAGAACTTCTCTCCTGCTGGTTTGGCAGGAATTCAGCCTCAGGGAAGTTGGGGGGCCTGAAGGGAGGGTAGGCCTGGCCTAAGGCAGAGTTGTCCCCACTGCGTCATCTCAGCTCCCCGCCAGGCCTCCTCTTAGCTCACCTTCTGCTGCGTAGAAGGCCTCAAAGCCCGTGAACGGCTTCTCGTTGGAGTAATCAGAGCGGAAGGTGACATCCAGACTGGAGCCCAGCGAGTAGAAGGTGTCGTTGCCAGGGGCCCGCTCCGTGTCTGTGCTCTCCCACCCACACAGCGTGGCCAGCACCTTGGTTCCTGAGCTCAGCTGTGGGGTCAGGGGTTACGGGAAGGAACAGCAAGACCCAAGGCCTGCCCCCCCTCCCTCCCTCCTTCGGAGGCCAGAGCCCATGCCCAGGTGTCCCTGTCCCCAGCCCTGGCTAGCCCTTGGGGACCTCCTAGCTGTAGAGAGAAACCGGGTCATCCCCGCCTTGTTGGTACCTTGACAAAGTCGTACTCGCAGAGGTAGGAGAGCTCCAGGTTGAAGTGGGTGAAATAGAGGCGCAGGCGGTAACCAGGGGGTGCTGTCAGGGTCCAGCGCTGCTCCTGGTTGTTGGCATACTTCCCTGGGAAGCCAGGAGATGCCAGGCGCCCGAACATGGGCTTGGGCCACTGCGGGCCCACGGTTGTGGCTGCCGAGCCCCACAGCAGGCCCAAGAGGATCAGCAGCCTGAGGGGGCAGCACAGGGGGCTGGTGAGGGCCGAGAGCAGACCTCTCGGCCCTCACCCCGGCCAGCGAGGCTGTTGGGGGGCTCCCACCCACCTCATGGTGCACCCGTCCAGCTGTCCAGGCCTGGTCTGGATTTGCACACTGTCTCACCTTTGATCTGTTTGTCTAACACCTGGCCCTGCCCCTAGCCGTGTTGACCCTGGAAATTCTGGGAATCGACCTCGTAACTCCTGCCTGCCCAGGCTACGAGGCAGGGAGGAGAGGACACTCCAGGAGCCAGGAGCTGGGACATAGCCAGGCAGCCCTGGGAACAAATCCTGGCTCTGTCGCTCGGCCCTAAGCTCCGGGTTTCCGCCTCCGTATGTGATTTCTGTGGTCGCCCAGGTCTTCATGATAATGATCTCCATAATGAAGCCCCAGGTGGAGATGGAGGAAAGCACACACGCATCTACTTCTGCTCCCTCCTGAAACTCTGCTCTGAGAGAGGAAAGGACATTTTTTAAAACACGCGAGTCCATGACGATGAAAAATATGGGGGAGGAGTCAGCATCCACATTTTGGAAGCTAGAAAAAACAGATGGACAGGTGGAAATAACTCTTTAGAAAGCAACTCCAAGTTGGCAGTGGGATCAGGAATCAGCTTGGCAATTGGTGGTACCAAGTCCTTCTGGAAGCGTTAAGAAACCAACCCATTCCCATTTCCCACCCCCTCACTCCAGCAGAAACTGGGAGACTGATTCTTAAAGGGAACGCAAGGGAGGGTCCCAGGCCCAGCTGAGCATAGGAGGTGGAGACGATAACAGCTGCATTAAGCAAACAGATTGGGTGTTAAGAGGCCCAGCCTTCCTCCCGACTCAACTCCTGGAACCTGGCAGCTGTCCAGGTTTCTCCCTCTTTCCCAGCCTAAGAGGAAAGACCTCAAGATACTGCCTTTGAAGGTTCTACAAGCAAATACTCAGCCGCATCACCCACAGCAAAGGTCAATCGACAAGCCCCAGTCATGTGCTCAGAGCTTCCAATTAGCTTTTTAGTCCCCACTCTGACAAATGAGCCAGAGTAATTCAAGGATTACTGAGGAAAACCTCAAACCTAAGAGAGAAAGACCCCCCCCCCCAAAAAAAAATCAATGTACCAAAGAATACAGAAACAAAGCAGGGAGAAGAAAATGTCAAAAAATCAAAACAATTATTAATATCTTAGAGGAAAGAGAGGCAAGAACAGGACATGATTTAAAAAGAGCATTCAGCCACCAAGAAATCGTTTTGGGAAATAAAAAGTAGGAGAGAAATGAAAAATTCAATAAAATGTTTGGAAGATTGAAGAAATCTTCCAGATCATAGAGTAGAAGAGAAATGAAAAAATACTAAAGATAAGAAAATTAGAAGCCCTTATACAGTGTGTCAAAAATTGAGGAATTCCAGAAGAAAGATGAAGAAAACCGAGGAGAGAAAATTATAAACAAAATAACGCGAGAAGATCTCCCAGAACTAAAGAGAACATGAGTTTACTGAGTGAAAGTGTCCTCCTGCATGGGGGTGTAAGGTATAGCATAAGGAATATAGTCAGTACTATTGTAATAACTACGTATGGTGTCAGATGGGTACTAGATTTCTCAGGGTGATAGATGGGAGAGGTGTTGGGGGCAGGGTGAAAAAGGTGAAGGGATTAAGAAATACAAATTGATAGTTACAAAATAGTCATGGGAATGTAAAGTATAGGGAATATAATTAATAATATGGTAACAACTATGTATAGTGCCAGGTGGGTACTGTTGAATAACTATAATGTACACCTGAAACTAATATAATATTGTATGTTAGCTATATTTTAATAAAAATTTTAAAAGAAAGCGTCCTCCTGAATGTCCAGAACAATAAAAGAAAATAGAACTTTACACATGACTATTTCAAAACACTGGAGAGAAAAACTTTCTACATTCTACAAACTTTGAGAAAGACAGAGGGAAGGAGAGAAAAACAGAGCAAACTGCATACAAAGGATCAGGAGAAGAATTACTTTGGCGCCTTTGAAAATTACACCGGAAACTAGAAACCAACCTCCAGCATGGCCCCCAGTGATTCCTGCCTTGGGGTAGTCGTGCTCTTCTGTGTAGCCTTCTCCCACGTTGAATGTTTATGGGTTGGATATGGCTGAAATGTTACTGTGTCGTTAGGCCATACAAGACCTTGTAGCATCTGCCTGGCTCTCTCTTGGGTCACTTGCTCTGGGGGAAGCCAGCCACCAGGCTGTAAGGACACTTAGTGTCTCTACGGAGAGGATCACATTGGATGAAACTGAGGCCTCCTAACAACTGTGGGCGTAGTTTGCCAGTCACATGAGTGAACCACCTTGGAAGGAAATCCTCCAGCTCTAGTAAAGGCTTCGGGTGATTGCAACCCTGACTGACAGCTTTACTGCAACCTTATGAATGACTCTAAGCTGAACCAACAGAAAAGACATGCTTTCTGTTTCAACTTGCTATGTTTGGGGCTCATTTTAAAGACAGCAATGGATACCTAATAAAAATGGAAAAGAGCAAATCGCAAAATGCTGAAGGAAGATTATTTCCAACATAGAATTCTATACCCATCAGTCAAGCGTGAAGGTGGAATAGACATTTTTATGTATGCCAGATATTTTAAAATTTGCATCCTTCATCCCCTTTCTCAGAAAACTACTACAGGATATCCTCCACCAAAATAAAGGAGTAAACCAAGGAACAGGAAGACATGGGGTCCAAGACATAAGGGTTCTAATAGCGTTCCATTAGATATAGTCAGAAGGCTCTGGACAGATTCTTCAGGAAGATGAAAGTGACTAAACACCTGTTGAGTCCAAAGATCTTTAAAAACAATTTTTTTAGTAATTGTTTTGTCCTACATGAAAGTGTTATGTATACTATGGTACAAATCATTTTAATAAAGAAATGCATGTTACATATATTGCTATTTCCTCTTACTGAATATTCCATTAAATATAATCATGAACTAATTATAAATTATAATGGGGCTAAGTAAAATACTAATATCTCATAATCAAAAGCTGATTAGCATATTGTTCAGACTCTCATGAAGTGTACTGCCTCCACAATTTTTTTTTTTAAGATTTTATTGGGGAATTGGGGGAGGGGAACAGTGTTGGGGAATTGGGGAAGGGGACCAGCCAAGTTGTTGCTCTTCAGTCTTCATTGTGGAGGGCGCCAGTTGCCATCTGGCTTCCCATCGGCAGCTCGTGACCTCTAAGCTCAAGGTGCTGTGTTACAATCTTAGTTGCGAGTGGGCGTAGCCACCATCCCATGTGGGAGTTGAACCAGCAGCCTTGTTGTTAAGAGCGCACGCTCTATCCACTGAGCCATCCAGGCGGCAGCTCAGCTCAAGGTGCTGAGTTCAGTCTTAGTTGCAGGTGGGTGTAGCCCACCATTGAACAGGCAATCTTGTTGTTACACCAGCTGAGCCACCCTGCCACCTGTTAACAGCTCAGCGACAGCTCAGTGTCACTGGTCCATGTGGGAATCGAACTGGTGGCCCCGTTGCTCAGAGCCTGCGCTCTCAAGCCAACTCTTAACCAACTGAGCCAACTCGGCCGGCCCTGCCTGCACAAATCTTTAAGAAGAGCTTCAGATAATTGCTAAAAAGTTTGGGGTTAAATTGGTGATAAATTTATTTAAAATTAATCAAATGAAAATAATCCCTCAAAAACCTCCAGGGAAAAGGAAGCTGTGCAGGAGATAAAGTTATAGCTTTCTCCTCGCCTCAGCTGTGAGTGGCATTTAGTCACAATCGTGTTACTCTGAATATCGAGCTAACGAAGATTATCAATTAATTGTTGAGAGTGTGGGGGTGGGGGTGGGGGAGGGAAGGAGAAAGCCAAATTCTCATGTTCCCCAGTAGAAAATCAACAGACTTAAGATGAAAACTGACAAGGTGAGAAACAGTAATACAAGCATGTTATTTAGAGACATGAAGGTAAATACCAAAACAATCAGCTAAAAGAGGTAAACGTGGCTGCCTCCAGGGAGAAAAGTGGGCACAGGAGGCCTGATTTCTTTCTAACAACCCACAGGGCAACACTTGGATCCTTAAACCAGGAGCATGGCTAACTTTGATCAATAACTAAACTTCAAAGCTCTAAATAGGTAGGGTTAATTTTATTCTCCAAAAAACTGGGCCTGTTCAGGGCCCTCTCCATGATTCCTGGGACTTGAGGGGACTCAGGTCATGTCTTCGCTAAATACCGTGCTTCTGCTTCAGGTCAGTCCGCGTCTCCATGTCCACCCTGATGCGGGGTTCGGGGCTAGACCTTAATGGAGACCCCTTCGAGGGGTGTACGTGTGTGCAGGACACGTTAGTAAAAGTTGGGGAGTGGGGGGATTTACACTGCCGACAACTTCAACTTCTGGGCTAGGCATTCTCGTTTCCTAAATAGCCCCAGCTCTCTCCGCAACGTGGGCCTGCCTGTCCCCTTCTTCCTCTGCCCTGAGAGGCCGCTCTGATTTTTACTAGCTCAGTGAGCACCACGATATGCTTAATAAAGCCTGTAACAGGTGAGGACCATTGCTCCTATTTTACAGATGGGGCAACCAAGTCAGGAGTTGTGAGTGGCTCATATCAGCGGAGTGGAGCTCCAGACCCAGGTTGAGCCCTCTGAGCTCTTCCTGTGTCCACCTGCCCTGCCAGCAGCATTCCCTGGGCCTCCCTCGGGATGCACCTTCCTGGAGCTTGGTCGGTAAGATGGGCTGTGGAGAGAAGGGGCCCTGCTGGGAGCCCAGGGTGCTCAGGCTGGGCTGCAGAGGCAGGCAGGGGTAAGCAGAGTGGAGAGGCTCTTGGAAGGAGTGCCTGGTGTGTCCTCAACTTGCTCACTAGCTTGTCACCTCATTTTCCTGATCTTCCTCATAGGCGGTTGTGAAGGTTAAAGGAATTGACAGGCGGTGGGTCAGTGCTCCACAACTAGCCAATACTAGTCTTCCTTTGATGCTCAAGTTACAGCCCAGACAAGTCTGGACTTCACTTGGCCTCCCTGGGAGAGCAGGGAGCCCCTGGGGCACATGATTTAGCTCCCAAGTTGGGGTTGAAGATTATCCTGGGATTGGGGGTGGAATGGGGGTTAGCTTGGGATCAGACCTGCTAAGTCTGTTGCGTTCATAGGGATGGGTGTGGGGTATGCAGCACCCTGAGGGCATGAGTGACCGGGGGCCACTCGAGTTTGGCTGCACAGCTGGACACTTGTGCCCCACCTCTGCCCCCTCATCCCCATGACTTCAGCCCCAGCGCCTGCTGAATGGGGGTCCAAGGTAGCTGCCCAGGGTAAGGGCGGGGCCAGGGAGCGTTCTAGCACCACTCCAGGCTGGGGCCACCCTTGTCCCCTCCCTGCCCCCAAGTCTCCCAGGTTGTCTATCCCGTGGCAGTACCTCTGCCAAGGCTGGGGAAAGGGGTTGGTGATATTTCAAGGAGCAAGGCCCTCTCTTATGGATCCTGAGATGGGTGTGCTGGAGCCCCCCATCCCCCAATCCACACTCTGCCATGGCGGCTCCTTTCCTACCAGTCTGAGTCCTGGTCTTCAGGAAGGGTGAGGCACGTCTGCATGTTCAGCACCATGGAGAGGGGACAGTCCTGTGCCCATGGAGCCCTGGTGTGGCCACCCTCACCTGCTTTTTCAACCTCTCAGCACTTAGGGGAACTTCTAGGAATGTACCAGAGGGCGCCCAGGAGAGGGGTGGGCAGGGTTTTAACCCAGGTCTGAATCCTGAGCCAAGTCAGGCCACATGATATGCTTAAAAAGGCCCCAGTAACTGGACACAAACCAAGCTCCAGCCAGCCCTCTGGGGTCTGGGGTGGGACCTAACAATCCTCAGCACCTCCTGAGAACACTGCAGGGCAGCCCCAGAGCAGCGCACCCACCCCCCCCCGCCATGATCTTGTCAACCCCTCAGCCCTGGCCCCAGAGGTCTGTCACCACTGGCTGTGTCGGGCTTGGTGAAGGAATGACTAAGGCAGCTTTCTCAGGGCAGATTTGGGTCCAGTTTGATGACTGCTGTGTCTCTTGGTGCCAAAGCACAGGTGCTGGTCCAAGGTTACACCGGGAAGGCCCAGCCTGCCCAGACATGTGGCAGACACTGGGAGGCCAGACGCCGGGTCCAGCCGAGCCTGGCACACAGGAGCACCCAATAATGGGTGATGCAGCTCCTGCCTGGGTCCATTCAAGGTCTGGGGACACACGATTCAGAACTTTGTTATAAATACACGTGTTTGGTGAGTGAGGGGTGACAGAGGCGGAGATGACGCTGCACACAGCTGGTATAGGCTTAGAGGTTGAACACCACAGAGAAAGACAGTCCGCCCAGCAGGGCAGCTGGGCAGCATTCTGGGGCCTGTAACACTTGGTTGGTGGGCGCGCCGGTGGGGGTCTTGTCCAGGGCTCCCTGGCCCGAGGTCCTGGGCGGCACCAGCAGCGGGACTTGGGCTCAGCTTACATCATTCAGGGCCTGGTGGGACATGAGGTCTTGTTAGGATGCTGGGTCATGTGCAGGCCGAGAGCCCCTCAGGGAGCCCCAGGCCCCCCCACCGGGCCTGCCCCAACAGGGCTGCACCTTGCGGGCAAACTCGGGCAGGACGAAGGCTGCCCGGTGCACGTCGGAGTTGTAGTATCTTAGCTGCATCTGCTCCACCTGCTTCTGTGTCAGCTGCTGCACGGGCTCCCGGAAGTTGGTGTTCTGTGGGGTGTGGGGGAGGGGAGATCAGGGGAATGTTCTCCGTGTGTCTGCCCCCTCCCACCCCCAGGACTGCCGGAAGCTCACGGGGTTTTTGCTGCACAGCATGAAGCCGATCTGGCCGCTGGGGTAGGTGGGGATGGTGCAGTAGGCGTAGCTCACCACGGGGAACAGCGACCTGCAGAAGTGCTGCATGTCCTTGATGAGGTCCAGGTGCAGCCACTGGCACTCACCTGTGGGGAGGCAACATCAGCATTGGCACAACAGGTGGGCCCCGCCCCGGCCTCTCCTGACGGCTTGAGGCACTCACCCTGGCAGCACAGGATGCCATCCTCCTTGAGGGCTGTCTTCATGAGCTGGTAATAGGACTCCTTGAAGAGGCTCTCAGCAGGGCCTGCGGGTAGGGAGGGACCAGGGACGATAAACACACTCTGGCTGAGACCTCCTGAGCCGGGCCTGGGGGAGGCAAGGGGTGGCCACTGTCACCTCACTACACAGACCCACACAGCTGCCAAGGAGCAGAGCTGGGACTTAAACCCAGGTCTGTGGAATTCAGAAACCAAACACGAAGAGGGTGCTTTTGAGGGGCACAGGGGTCCATTGCCCCAGGATCCGAGGGGGCTCCACACTTACTGCATTTCCGAGGGATTCTCCTTGGCACTGCATCGGGGGCATCTCCACCCCGGGCCTTGGTTTAAAAGGAGAACCCACCACTGCCCTGATGCTGGTTTGTCAAGAGCAGAGAGGAGGCTGAAGAGGAAACTGGGGCCTCAGTGGGCCAAGGCCAGAGCCCCACTCTCCTCCAGGTCCCCAACCAACTGTGAACTTTGGTCAGTGGCCTGATCCCCCTACTCCGCTGCGCCATGTTTGATGGGGGAGGTGACACTGAGAAGGAAAAAGTGCTGTGCTAGTTCTGGGAAGGCGGGCTCCTGAACTGGAGGCTGCTGGAGGGTCCCGGGCACCCCCCTTGCTTACCCATGGGGTCTGAGGAGTCAGTGATGATAACATCAAAGGCGTCCTGGTTCTGTTTCATGAACTCAAAACCGTCGCCCACATGGAGGGTCAGTTTTGAGCTGGAGTAGCCAACGGCCATGCCCGGCAGGAACTTCTTAGAGACTTGAATAACATCCTGAGGAGGGGACAGGAGGGGCCAGGGTGGGCCACAGGGGTTGGGGACCCTGGAGCCAAGTGGAACTCCCGGCAGTCCCTCTCACAGGCTGGTCCCTTTTGGCCAGCCACTCATTTTGTGGAACCCCCGTTTCCACATCTGTCTAACAGGGAGCATTCGGGGCCCTTCCACTCCTCATGGAGGGCTGTCCACTGTTCCTGTGCTCTCCCGCCAGAAAGCATCGCCCCATCCTAGTGGCTCTCTTGCTGCTTCGGGAGACGGCAATTCCAGCCTCCGCCAGAACCAGTCCCGCCTCCATGGGAATGGAGGAGCAACATGGCCGGCTGCTTCTCATTCAGGCCTCAGCTCAAAGCCACCTCCCAGAGGCCTGCCCAGACCAGCCTCCACTCATTAGCTTTCAGCTGCTCGTCATGCCTTTATCAGATCACGTTTTGATGTCTCCTCCTGACTAGAATATCAGCTCCAATGCGGACTGGATCTGTCTACTCATCACTATACCCCAGCACCTAGAGCCATGGAGGCCACGTAATAGATGCTCATTAAAAACATGCTGCATGTCAAGAACAGATGACCTAGTAGCTGGAATGCCCCTGGGCCTTGCCTGGGACTTGAATTAAAAATCAGCACTCAGTCTAAGAACTAGCATCAATGGCACACCTACTACGTGCCAGCCTGTTACTATCCCACTAAATGCTCCCAACATGTTTTCGAGATGAAGACACAGGCCTAGAAATAGTAAGCGGCTTGCTCAAAGGTATGCAGCCAATTCAGCGCAGAACCGGGACTTGAACCCAGACCCCGGTTATGCTTTGGGCACTCACCTCATCAATCTCGCACTGCACCACTGACTCCACTGAGGAATGCTTCACCACCTCCCTCAGGACACCCCCGTCCCCGCCCCCGATAATCAGCACCTGGGAGGGAGACAAACAGTCAGGAGCAGGGCCCAGCACCAGCCTCACCAAACAGGCTCCAGCAGGACTCGGCGGCCCGGGCTCACACTGGGCAGATGCACTCAAACAGAAGCCTCGGAAGCCAGGGGATGTGTCTCAGCTCCTGATCCACAGACCTCATTACTTCATTTTCTACTCTCAGAAACGCTGCTCTGCCTCAGGAACCTGCCCCGAGGGGGCCCCTTTTTCCTGGAAACTGCTCCCTGAGTTTCAGGCCTTAGCCAGAACTGTTTGCTCCTCTGAGACCGTGTCAGCCCCCCACCCGAGAAGTGGGCCGCTCTGCCACTTACTCCCCTTGTCCTTGCTAGCACGTTCTCTGACAACCACACAGGAAGCACCTGGGCTGAACAGTGGGCAAGGGCGCAGAGCCTCCAGCACTGTCCTGTGCGGCGCTGAGGGGTGGCTTTCCTATCACTGGCTCAGGGCTGAAGCTTGGTGGGAGCGGGGTACCTTGCGAGGGTTGGGGTGGCTGCAGAGGGGCAGGTTGGCTATCATCTCCTGGTAGGAGAACTCGTCTCTCTCCGTGCACTGGATGACACCGTCCAACACCAGCACGTTGCCGTAGCTCTTACTGCGGGGCGGGAGTGACAGTCAGGGACCTGGGTTCCCTGGGGTGGGGGCAACGTGCTCCCGCTCACCTTGGGAGAGAAGAATCTCCCCCAACCTGCGAAGGGGTCCCAGAGGTGAGTACTGGGGGCGACACGTGGCGAGGACCCGCAGGCAGGCCCGTAGGGCGGAGGTTGGGGTTCGACTCGGGTCCGACTCTGACGTATCTCTGACTGACACGTGGAGCTCCGCGCTTCGGGTCGGCGCAGACTCCAGCTCTCCCTGACCAAGAGGACCGCCCGAAACGCAGGCCCCCCCAGCCCAGGGATCGGGATGCAGGCTGGGGAGGGAGCCGAGGGAGCACGCGGGCCTAGTTCACAGGAACTTCTGACAGTTCTGCAGGGGGAGGGGCGGGCAGAGACTGCCCGTGGGCGTCGGAGGTGAAGGGCGCAAAACAGGCATCTGAAAGGAAGCGGGTGGGCTGGGCCGAGGTCAGGTCAGGAGTCCCGGCTGAATCGCGAGGGGGTGGGCAGCCGGCGCGCTGGGTTGCGAGCCGTCGCAGGGGGTCGGGGAGGCGTAGCGGGCTGGCGGTGGTACCTACCTGCGGAAGACAAGGATATCCTGGTACCGCGAGCGCTGATGGTGTAGCAGCTGCTCCACCTGCAGCGACAGGGCCTGGCCGGGCCACAGGCTGCACGTCTCGCGGAACCACCCCTCGCGGATGGCAGCGGGACCGGAGGTGGCGGGGCCGTCGGGGCCGGGCTCCATGGCGGAAGAGCGGGCGGGCGGGCGGCGCGGTGCGCGGACCCGGGACTGCAGGCCGCGCGGAGCCGCAGCACAACGGGACCAGCTCCGCCCGCCGCCAGCGCCTCAACCTAACCCGGCCGAGGGGGCGGGGCCTGTCGGCAGGGGCGGGATCCAAGCCTTCCAATGATGGTGCGGGCGCGGACGCGCGGCGACTCGGTGGCACCGCCCCGCCGGCGCTCCGAGCACGCTGATTGGCCGCTGAGCCGCAGCGCGGCGCCCAGTGGCTTGGACGGGCCGTCTGTCGGTGGCAGCAGGGTAGTGCAGCCCGCTCCCAGGGGCCACGTGGGGCCGTGGCCGGGCGGCCGCGGTCGGGCCTCCGGGCGGGGCGCGCCGGCGGAAGGGGTCCCAATCCCGCCTTGCGCCAACCGGGGCGGTGCAGCTCCTGGGCCCCTGCTCTCTTCTTTGGGTCCCGGAGGCACCTAGGGCCATGCCGCACCGCAGAGGGAACGAGAGGGTGACGGACTCCAGAGGGGAAACTTGAGCTGACATCTCGGCTCCGCAGGAGTTTCCAGCGCTGGGGCAGCCAGTTTGAGCCCTCTGGCTGGAGAAATGGGAGCTGGCGGCTACATTGTTGGGCGAAGAGTTAACGTTGCATAGGAGCGATAGCGTGTGTCTGTCGCCGCGCCCCCAAATTTGGCTCCCTGTTGGACTTAAACTGAGTGTATAGTTTGTCGGGGGCGCATTGAGGATTTTTATTTCTTGGATTATCACGGCCCTGCGACTTAAGCTCGATTTATGAATGTTCTCTTAGATTCTCTGAGCCATGAGCATTTGGGTGCTAAATAAGAAACCTCTTTTCTAAACGAGTTTCTAAATTTACCAGCAGTGTCCCGGAAGAGGCGAACACATGCATATTCAGCACCAAAAAGACCAGCATGCAGTTTTTTTGGCAAACTGGGCCTTGCTCCGTGAGGAGTGGGCGGGAATGTGCTTTGTTTTTATGAAAATGTCAAGGAACTTCTCAGAATCACATTAAGCATGCTAATTACCAAATATTAAATGCTAATTGCTGTACGAGCTAGTTCTCCCAGCTAGGTCTTAGCATGCCAAGGGAGATGAAACTGGTGTAAGCTACTGGTGACATGACAGGGATGTTTCTTAACTGACGTTTTGCAGCCTCCACTGGGAGGTGGGCAGCATGTTCTCTGTCTGTTTAACCCCAGATGAATAACACAATCGTGTTTATCTGTTAGTGCGAGCCTCAAGCCTTAGAGCAACAATGTGCCTTGGTTGACTTTAAACCCTTTAAAGGGGAGGTGAGCCTAGGCAGTTAAAGTATTGCTAGGAGATGGCTCCTTGGGAACTGTTACAGGACCTGAGGTCATGCAGAAAAGGATCACACAGCGGATACCATACCGGCAACCAGTATGTCCGGTTACTACATTGCTTCACTGGCTCCAGCCCTGTACTTGGATCATGGTGTTCACATCACAGCCTGTACTTCCTCCATCAAGATGTTGTGGGCCAACTGAGTAGTCCCACCCCCCAAAAAAGACCTTTAAGTTTTCTTTCCTATAGAAGTGTTAAGTCTCCTCCCTAGTTTCTTAGTCCCTTAGCCCTTGGCTTTGATTACTCTTCTAATCAGTTTCTGAAACCTAGACTCAAGATTGCCCCTAGACTGAATCACAGAATCTCTCTCACTCACCCTGGTTTTAGATAACTATTTAAAACCTGTGAATTCCCAACATTCCCCAAGCCATTCTGGACCTAACTCTTGGATAATCCCATCCCAGGGACTAAGTAGGTTTTAACATTTCTCCAGGCCAGTAAGCCTAACATTCCTTCCAAACTCATTCTGGGCCCAGATAATTGACGCCACTTGAGTGATGGGCTGAATGGCAACAGGTTTCATAAGAGCTAATAGATTTATTAATTAAAATCTATTTTTTGTCATTCAGGGGCTTTGGGGATACAGACGACACCCCAACAAGATTGCCAGTCGCAACCAAAGAAGCCAACAGGAAGCCAACAGTCTTCCAGGCGGATCTCAAGACCCCTTCCTCTCATCTAAGGTCAGGCAGGGCGAGAGTTTTGTGAGTCCCCCGATAGGTTGGGGCAGCTCTATACCCCTGCCCAGCAGGAAGCAGATACAGAAGAAAAGACCTCCTGTCCCTCAACTTCCCATAGAGATTTTATGGGGATCATGTCTCTCAAGGGGAAAACAAGGCAGGCAGTTAGAGGCAGGCATTGGGTCTCTGCATTCCTGCATGTCCCACAGAATGCACTGCCCAAAAATTTCCACCCAAAAATTATCTTTTCTTCTAATAAACTCCCTTTCTAAAGAGATGAGATCAATCAAGTGGTCCCACACCCAGAGGGCAACAGCCCATTCTAGAGAAAAAGGGATAAAAACTCCAAGTGAAGGGAAGTCTGGGCTTTTTAGCTGCCTTCCTCCATTCTATGAGCCTCGCCTTTGCGCGCGTGGCCCGCTCCAAACTCTTTGGAATGTAATTTCTCTTCTAATGGTGGGTCCTTGAGCCATTCTCTACTGCTCGGGCCCACTTCTATTTCTTTGAAATGTACTATCTCTTCTAATAAACTGCTTTTTCACTACTTTGCTCCAGTATCTCGTTCAATTCTTTGCTCAAGTTGCCAAGGACCTGGACTTCGTGCCAAGAAGGGCCCACTCTCCGACAACAAAGACATTTACACCTCTGAGTTGGGATCGCCTGTTCACTTCTGTGTACCCTGGGCTAGACTGTGAGCTCCATGCGACTAGGGATGGTGTGTGTAGCTGGCAGCACTGAGAAGAGGCTGAGTGAGTGTGGGAGGGCAGGATCTGGTCCAGGCATCTTATGGAGTCAGCTGTCTTGGCTTTCTTCCAGGTGCTGCACAGCTGAGCCCAGACAGGGGCCCTGGCATTCCTGGAACACAGCACAAGGGGCCAGCGGAGGATCAAGTCCATTCCATCTCTCATGCAAGTTGAACAAAACTGTTCCAGCAATGAGAAAGACCATAAATGACCCACTTTGCCCTCCTGTAGAGGGGGTAAGACCGTGGCCTCTGCCTCAAGCACGAACAACAAATGGGAATTGTAGGCTAGTGTGCAAAACTTCCAAGTTCAAAAAAACCAAAGGCCCTGAATAAATTACAGGCGAAAAAGTCCCTACAGGTACAGGACCAAAAGCCCAGAAATGCCACCCAACTTTAGATCACAGGGAGAAAAAACTGGTTTTGCCAGAAATAGCTATCATTACGTTGCCCAGTTAAATTCATCACTGGTGTGGGAAATCAGGCTGGAGAAAACCAGGGTAGAGCACAAAATGTTTCCCCAAGTTGAGACCAATGTGCATTTAGAACTCAGTAAAGCATTACTGTCTAGTGGGTCGACTACCCCAACCTCCTAAAGGTAGTTTATAAAAGGGGGAGCAGGGAGAGGTGGGTGTATGGCTACTGTCCAAGGCAATGGTTAAATGGGGCTGCCACAGGGTTTGTGTGTCTCTGTCATTGGAGGTTTTTGGCAGTTAGCACTTGAGAGTCATTTTTTAAGCATTGTGTTCAGCCAGGCAGACAGCTGTGGTCATGAGTGGGATGAATTTGGCCATTTCGTGGTGTTACTTGGTGGACAACTGCTCATGGCAAGCTGCCTAGGGCACCACAAACAGCAAAGAGCCCTTCAGCTCATCAATTCTCTCCACCTCCAACCGTGCGTGGGCCCTGTCAGATCCCTCCTTCCAGAGCGCAGGCCCAGTCCGGGCCTCTACAGTTCAGAGCCACTGAGCAGTTCCCCACTGGCCCCCCCCCCCCAAGCGCTCTCCCCACCACATGCAGCTCCAGTGAAATGAACTCCAGCTCTTCTCCACACACCCCTTGTCTCCATCCCATGGCTCAGTCCTCGCCTTTCAGGTTCCACAGACCAGGAAAATTTCAAAAACACAATTGACATCAGGTTGCCAATTTTTTGTTTTGTAAGAAAGGACACGTAAGACTTCGACTCCTATTGTCTGTGGCCCCCATCTTTAAAAAAAAAAACCAAACAAACATTGACACGAAGACAAAACTGTAAGGATAACTTGCAAATAAAGGACAAGGTGTTGTTTTACCTGAGAAACGTAAGACGGCCCCTCCTTGTTCCCCTCGCACCTCTGGCCGGCGGGAGGCCCGCTGTGGCCCAAGCAAGGTCTGGGACGTGCTGCCTTGCTGACAGCGGTGGTTCTGGACTTAAGCGTTAGACCATCTGGACAGCTTGTTCAGACCTGGTCGCTGGGCCCGCCGAACTCTGACCGGGCAGGTCTGCGGTGGAGACTGGGCTTCACTCAGCCTTTCTAACCAGCTCCCCGCTGGTCTCTACCAGGGACCCACACTTGGAGTAGTACTGACTACAAGGTTCTCTGGACTTCTTCCTTTAGTCTTCAAGGTTCAACCCAGTGCACCTTTCATGAAGCCTCCTCAGGCCATCCGCAGTAGAAAATAATTTCACATATGTTCTTTTTTTTTTAACTGAGCCATCCTGCCACCTGTTAGCAGCTCAGCGGCTGCTCAGCTCGGGCCGGGACTTGAACCACTGTTGCTCAGAACTCAAACTCTTGAGCAAGCTCTTAACCAACTGAGCCACTCAGCCGGCCCTCATCTGTTCATTTTTTTTTTTTTTTTTTTTTTTAGCTGAGCCATCCCGCCACCTGTTGGCAGCTCACGGCTGCTCAGCTCGGGCTGACTCGAACCGCTGTTGCTCAGAGCTCAAACTCTTGAGCGAGCTCTTAACCAACTGAGCCACTCAGCCGGCCCTAATCTGTTCATTTTTGATAGCAGAGACCCTGCCATTTTTTTGGCAGACTGCTCATTGTGCCTCAATGTCTGTTCTTTCCAAACCCTGGGCACATGGGCACTGAAATGACTTTCCCAGTAGCCTTTGCTGTGGCTGTGTGACTAAGTTCTGGCCAATGGGAAGTGGAAATGGGCAGTGTACTTTTAAAGGGAGCCTGGGTTCTGTTTCCTCCCTCCCTTCCAGCTGACTGGAATGAGGGTGCCATGGATGGAGCTGGGGTAGTTATTCGCCCACAACGTGGAAACCCTGTGGTCCAGTTCAGGATGGTAAAGCAATAGATGGAAGCCA